ATTCAGGACGATGGAACACGACAACCGCCGCCCCCGTTCATAATTGACGAAGAGCCATATTACATGGTTGAGGCACTACTTGACCATCGTGATGTGAAAATCCGAGGTGGAACCGGCAAAACACGTCGAGAATATCTGGTTAAATGGGAAGGCTATGACTCCAGTCATAACACCTATGAACCGGAAGATTCCCTGCGTCAATCCGTTCCCTTGGCCGAAGCTATTGACGACTATGAACGACGGTTGGCGGCAAAGTCCGGGCAACCTACACCAAAAAGGAAAGTGGTCCTGACCACCCCTCCTTCGGTAGCACCCCGGAACAGCACCCCAGAACAACCGAAACGGAAAGCACCTGCTCGCAAGAAAAGGTGACGCTCCCGGGACGGTTCGCTTCTGAGGGGGAGGGATGTAGCAAGCTACATTTACCTTAGAATATCTTTAAGCTATTAAAGCTTAATCACAGTAACGGTACGGTCCCGTATTTACGAACCATACTCGTTAACTGTACGAACTCACTTTCTGGTACGCTATCACAACCTAGCGTACGGCACCAAGACTCCAGGAATGGAGATGGCGGCAGGTGGGCCGCATTTAAGCCACCCAGGTGAAGTGCTTCGGCCAGACACTTAACGTATCACTATACTAGTGTTCAGGGTTCAAGACCTTGCTGTCACCGTTCTCGACGTATGTCTTCGAATCCCGACTTCCCTTGTCTCTTCTCACGCCTAACGCTGGGTCGCCAATCGTGGACGAGACCCTCTACTTCCGCTAAAACAGCTAAGGTAAGAGACGGCTGTTACACAACCGCGCACAGACTGACCCACCGGCCACAAATGCGACGGATCCCTCAACAAACGCTGACGGACGCCCACTGAAGGAATGGACGATAGACACGCGAGAATGCCAAACATGTGCCCGCTAAGGGTTGACTAAACGGCCAACTAGGGCTTGAACTGAACACCGGCTCTGCAATAACGACCGCTCCACGCGCCCAGGGCACTGACAGCAGGGATACGGATGACGAAACCCAGCACGACAAACAGCAAGGTCGGGCCACCTCCGAACCAACAGGTACAACGGCCAACTGTTCAAATCTTCCACACAGCACCTGCAATAAAGGCCAACACAAAGAGAGTCTGACAGAGCCACGGAGTGCTGCAAATGCAACCAACTACTGTAAAAAACGCCGCCAGCAGGGGCTGCCTCCAGCACAGGGCGCTCTTGGTTAACCGAGCAAGACATACACGGAGCTCACGGAGTTCACGGAGCTCATGGCACTGAAAATAAGGCTGAGCAGCACGGGCTTGGATAAAGCTCTTGGCAGCTAGGAACTGACCCCACAGGAGCCCGACATAAACGGAGTCAGAAAGAGCCCCAGCCTACCGCGACACAGAAAACGCACAAACACAGCGATGCAAAACTGCCAGGTCTTAGCACCAACCCTGGGACAAGGTAACCTGGCAACCGGCAAAGACATGCGGAATGGACCAACCCTAGGCCGGCGAGCGACAGCTGCGATACCAACAGGTTATCAAAGACCGGGGATGTCGCAACGGACTGCAGATCCAGCGAGAAACCGGGACCTATTCCGCGCCAAAGGTACTACTCGAATGTAGTCCCAAATCCAGCGGGGTTGGAACCAGCGGTACCACCGGATACCAAGCAAGTGAAACCGCTCCGAAATCACGAGAAACCAAACGCAGGTTAACACCAAGCGACGAAAAACCAACTACCTGCGCGGTGCCTAAGGAGCGCACACACGACAAATCCCTACCTATTCGCTCCACATAACTGCATAACTGCTCCCCTGGCGCAAAGCAACTACGGCGTTCCCTCAAAGATGGTCCCATAACAAATAACGCGGCCCACGGGGAAGGGTGAAATGCTAGGAAAGCGCTCCCAGCGGGGCACACACGCGAACCGAACTTGCAGCGCCTCACGGAACGACCGAGTGCTAAGCAAAGCGCCCACATGAAGATTGCACCCGCACTGCTACGACCTGCCAGGAAGGGGGTGGTAGATAGGTGCTCGACCCACCCTCGCCCGGCGCAAACAGCTCCGTATTCGACGGCAGGAACACAAGGTCAACCGCCAACTCCATCAATTGTTGCCACCAAGGTTGGGCCGTCCAGTACGGCACGACTAGGGTGAGGCACGCTCCCTCCTCGCGCACTTTCTGCACCACAGCGAGCAAGAAGTCGGGGTCCAAGGGTGGGCAGCCATATGCATTAAGCCCTGCCCAAGATTGCAAGAGAGCATTGACCCCCGACGAACCCGGACAATGGTGGCGAGAAAAGAAAACCGGGAGGTGCGTGTTAATATGCGTGGCAAACAAGTCGACATGGTGCGGACCGAAGCGGTGCTCCAAAAGGCGGAAAAACCGGGGATGCAAGCGGTAATCATCACGGTCTACCCAACGCGAGGCTTCATCTGCCTCGTTGTCAGCACTAGCCACACGCTCGACTTGTAGAACAATACTATGCTTCTGCATGAATTCCCATAATAATTTTAGTTCGGCATGCAGAGCTGCCGAGCGCGAAGAAAGACGCCCTAGCACTGCTTGCGTGCACGTGTTGTCCTCCCTAATTAACACAACACGCTGCTGAACGAACGGGAGGAAGG